TACCAGGAAGTAGAGCAGCACTTGCGCCTGTTCGTACGCAAACGGCAAGACGACTGGGTACGCTATCTGCCAACTGCCGAGTTCGCACTGAACAGCCGAATCCACTCTGCGCACAACCACACGCCCTTCGAGGTCATGTACGGGTACAAGCCAGACTTCACGGTACCAGTGGGAACAGAGACTCGCTTCCCTCATCTCGAGGATCGTCTAGAGGGCATGCGCCAAGCACAGAAGGACATTGAATCAGTGCTGCGCGCAGGCAAGGCGAAGATGAAGGTTCACTTCGCAGAGGAACACCCTCGTGATCGGAAGCATTCGAAGTCGGAGACAAGGTCTGGCTTAGCGCAAAAGACATCAGTGTGCACCAGGCAACGCGCAAGCTTGGTGTCCGGCAGCTGGGACCCTACAAGGTGGTCGAACGCGTGGGTGACTAGCCTATCGTCTCAACTCCCACCCACGCTCAAGATCCACCCGGTCGTACATGTGGATCGGCTGTCCAAGTATGGAGGGAACGAGGTGAACGGGCGACGAGCACCACCGCCAGAGCCAGTGGAAGTGGACGGAGAGGAGGAGTACGAGGTGGAGAGGATTCTGGACAGTCGGTTCTTCAACCGCCGGCTTCAGTTCCAGGTGCGGTGGAAGGGATACGGAGAAGGGGACGACTCGTGGGAACCAGCGGCGAATGTCGCCAATGCCCCAGAGAAGGTCGCAGAGTTCTACGAGCGCAATCCCAACGCGCCTCGCAAGATATCTGCGACTCTATTCGCCGCGCTGCCGTGGAGGAGGGTTGAGCACCCTGAGCACGCAGAAACGGAGAAGGAAGACTGGCAGGAGGGGAGGATCATGTCCATCCGGGACGGATGGGTTTTAGGAGGGGGGTAATGTCGTGGAACGGACTCTGGACTCGCCCTACGTATTATTTTTCGTCTTTTCTTTGCCTTTTCTCTGCCTGCTACTATATTGGAAGGTTGTTCCCGCGCTTAAGCGCCCGTATCGCGGACTCTCTTAGCACTTGCACTTCGTGTCCTAGCCCTCATCTCGACCTCTTGGTCTTTGTGGGCTAGGTGAGTATCTCGATTGCCTGTATGTATGTAGAGCTATGTTAACTTGGTCTTTGTGGGCTAGACATCCCTCGTGTGACTCTAGTTTGCGTCTGCTTTGCGCCTAGTGCCGGCAACGCCTCTGCACCACTACATCGAGGTCATCCAACCTCCATCTACACCCATCCACCCCTCCCTCTCCTCCGATTGGCGTTCGCGGCCTGCTCCCGCGTCAATAACTGCTCACCTGGATCTGCTCGCTCCGTGGCATTGACCTGACGAGTACCCCGGCGACGTGCAACTTGCAGCGATGTCGTAGCTGCATGTGGGTCCTCGCTCGGTCCATCCACGAGCGAGCTTGAGTTCTCTTTGTTCGTGCTTGCACTCCGGCTTTGCATTTGCATGGCGGATTTTCTCGTGGACGTATTAGATGGCCTTTTGGCCCCGCGGCCACGACGGGCACCGCGGGAGCTCATGCTTGACAGTTCTTCAACCTGTAATTTTGATCAGATAATAAAGTTGGGAGAGGAAGCAGCGCATGGGCTCACCAGAGACTAGCAAGCCATGTACTAGCGGAAAGACGTTGAGTAGAGTAGTGAAAAGGATGAGGACGACTGATGCGAGTTGTGCTGGCAGCTCAGGTCTGAGTTACATAAGCAGCCCGCGCACCTGAGACTTTGCGCGACGAACGGTGATCACCATAACCCGGGCCAGGTCACAGCTTCCTCCCCTCTTCATCATCATGTCCTCCGATCTCCGTACCGTCTGTGATGACTGTCACAAGAGGCTTCGTGGCCGACCCGAGTTAGCTCACTTCCTCGACAAACCCACCTGCCGGCATCTGGCTCACACACGGAAACGTCCCCCGAGGTCCCGCCAGGCCTCTCCATCCTCTCATTCTGCAAAGCGCTATCGTGTCCATGTTACACACCTGCCAGAACCTCTCTCCAACGTCGCGACATCACTGGCACCGGAACAGGAGTCAGCCAACTTAGACTCGTCAACACCGGGTTCGACAACTTACCAGAATCAAGAAGGCACATATTCCACCACTTTCAACTTCCCCGAAGCCGGACACCCATCAAGAAAACACCCAACCGTCTTCGAGGTTGAGAAGGCTGTGCGTGACGAGCTCAAGCTTCCACCACACGCTCCCTTCTCCAGCGAGGATGAATGGGAGGTGGCAGAGTTCATCATCGAGAGCGACCTATCTCAGGCGAGTACAGAGCGACTGCTTCATAGCAAAATGGTGAGCAGTGATCCTTTTAATGCTCACTGGAATATCACTCACTATGTTCGAAGTACAAGCACTGCTTAGAGACCGCACCAGACAAGTTCGGCTCCTTCGACTCCAACAAAAGGTTTCTTCAAATCATCGACGAGATGAATGGGCCTCGTGCGACATGGCAGCTGATGGAGATCACGGTCACTGGGAACCTCTGTGATGAGCAAGGAAATCCACTCACCGAGAAACTAGACTGCTGGTTTCGCGACCCCGTCTTGCTCATCAGAGATCTTCTTGGCAACCCGGAGTTCGTGGACGACGTTGAGTTCGCACCGTACGTCCAACATCTGGAGGAACTGCAAGAGGAGTTAAACAATGCCACGTCGAGCGAGGAGAAAGAGCGGATCGTTGAGGAGATGGCGAGTGGGGAGTGGTGGCAACGCGTGCAGGTGAGTTTTGAGTCAAATATCGTGGCAGTTCATGTGGGAGCTCACCTTCTTGGCAGAAGGAAATATGCCAGCGAAACCCGCAGGCCACCATCGCCCCCGTCATAGTGGCAACAGACAAGACGCAACTGTCAACATTCAGTGGCGACAAGCAGGCGTACCCAATCTATCTCACCATTGGCAATATCCGAAAGGGTGTCCGTCGCCAGCCTTCTCGCCGCGCGGTCGCCCTTCTTGGGTATCTTCCGGTGTCCAAGCTCTGCTGTTTTCACAAGAAAGACCGTGCTTTAGAAGGGTACCGTCTCTTCCACTTCGCCATGAAGCATATACTCGCACCACTGGAGTCCGCTGGCCGAGACGGTGTCGAGATGAACTGTTGCGACGGGTTTGTCCGCCATGTCTATCCCATCCTGGCGGCGTACATGGCAGACCATCCCGAGCAATGTCTGGTATGCTGCAACAAGGAAAATCGCTGCCCGACTTGTGAGGTGGACAGGCTCGAACGCGGGGAGATGGTGGATAGCTGTCTGCGAGATCCCACGGCCACGCTCGACACCATGCGCGACCCGTCATCCGACGACTTCTCACGGCGCGGGCTACGCGACGTTCCCATGCCCTTCTGGGCGGATCTCCCCCACGCCAACATCTTCAATTGTATCGTCCCCGACCTCCTCCACCAGCTGCATAAAGGAGTCTTTATGACTCACCTCGTCAAATGGGTATCCACCGGCCACGAAGATGAACTCGATGAGCGCTTCAAACGCGTACCACCCTACCCTGGTCTTCGACACTTCGCCAAAGGGATATCAACAATCTCGCAGTGGACTGGTAATGAGTTCCGTCAGATGGAAAAGGTATTCCTCTCCCTCGTTGACGGTCTCCACAATGATCCCCGCGTCATGGTTGCCACACGGGCGATACTTGACTTCATTTACCTAGCACACTACCCCTCCCACACAACATCGACTTTGGAGCAGATGAAGAAGGCACTCGAAACGTTCCACTGCAACAAGCAAGTCTTCATCGATCTACGCACACGCGACTCCGAGCACTTCAACATCCCCAAGGTGCACTGGATGAACCACTACGTCTCATCTATCATCGATTTCGGCTCCTGCGACGGCCTGAGCACCGAGATCTCTGAACGACTCCACATCGACTTCACAAAACTCGCATATCGTGCAACAAACCGCAAGCAGTACGTCCAGCAAATGGTGATCTGGTTTTCACGGCGCGAGAAGGTACGCTGGTTCTCTGGGTTTCTGCGCTGGTGCTCGCTGTGGGGTAGTAGCGGCGTCACCTCGGCCGACGACCCAACCCAGTCCGAAATCCCTCGCGTCAGCCATATCCCCACCGTTGCTACAACTCCACCCTCCAAACATTCCCTTCGGAGCCTCTCCTTTGAAACGGACCCTCAAATTGCCAGCACTTGCCACATACTTCGTGAGACCCAAGACAAGTCCGACGACGACAGCGGTCTCGACGAGGCCGACGACGACAACGAGGTAGTACGTATTCGACTCACTGTGCGTACCACTCTATTCATTGACGTACCTGTATACAGAATGTTCCGTCTTTCGGGCCTTACTCCATAGCGGCGGCTCGACCCGGGCTGGGTTTCTTGACCCCCGCAGAAATTGCGACCAGACTCCCAGCAACACATTTCCAGACAGCTCTCGAGCTGTTTCTACGAGAAGAAGGCATTTCGGACACCCGAATACACTCCCTGCGACTTTCACAGCGTCGTTACCCCATCTACACCCGGTTCTCTCGCACCCTACCGTCACTTCGAGGGGTTGAAGACGAGGTTTTTCGAGACACTGTATTCGCATACCCCGCTTCTCTATCCGCCAGAAAGCCTGCACGTTTCAGTACAGTTCTGTTCGTTGAGAACTCGGACATAGCGGAGAGCATAGGTGTTCAGGGTACGTACCTCAGCCTGTCCACAATGATCAATATTGACACTGGACCATTGGCAGGCTATCGTGTCGCTCAAGTGCGCGTCTTATTCGCACTACCTCCCGAAGTCGAACGTCTGTGCACGGATGAGTCGGCTTCCTCCCATTTTGCATACGTCGAACTCTTTACGCCCTTCACACGAGAGCCGGAACTCGGCAGCAAACTCTATACTGTGGCACGCTCCTTGCAACGGCAGCAACCCCGAGTCGCCATCATTCCGCTTGGCCGCATCTTCCCTACAGTGGTGATTCGCCAGGTGCATCCGTTGTGACAGCCTACCAGCAGGTGCGGATGCATCTGGTGCCGGCCGGCCCGGTCGCGCTCGACACCGCCTTCCCCAAGCGCGCTCGCGCACCGACGCTGTCCCGAGATGTCCGGACACCAGCGTCTCAGGCGCTGCCACCTGAGCTCGCTGTCTCCGACAGTGAGCTTGCCTCCCTCTTTTTTTCACACCACATCTTGCATATGATTAGTGATAAAAATATATTTGTTAGTAAGCTACTACATAGGTGCGCTAGTATGTAATACCACGCCCCGCGACAACGCGGAGGCAGAGGCAGGGATGAGACAGAGGGTTGGACAAGGCGGAGGAGGAGGAGGAGGGCGACGTGGACGACGTGAATGCGGGAGACGCGGAGGCGGGCGACACAAAGGCAAGCGAGGCGGAGGTGAGGGACGTGAAGGCGACGGGGAGGGCTCGCGGGGGGACGCGGAGGGCCCGGACGAGGCGGAGTAGGTGGTGGGCGACGCGGGCGGGGGTGCGAGATGCGAAGAGGGAGGAGGCGCAGAGCAGCGAGGGCGGGCGATGCGAGCGGAGAAGGGCCGCGCGGGCGGAGGAGGTGCGTGGACGAGGGTGACGCGGAGGGCTCGCGGGAGGAGGCGGAGGCAGAGGAGGGCAGCGCGCGCGGAGGAGTGCGAGGAAGAGGTGAGCGAGGCGGGCAGAGGCGGGCCATGAGGTGGGCAGCGCGCGCGGAAGCGAACGATGCGGAGGCAGACGAGGCGGAGGAGGTGGGCAACGCGGAGGGGGGACACGGACAAGGACGAGGACGAGGACGGAGACGGAGGCGGGGGGCCGGGACGAAGCGGAGGAGGGGGAGCCTAGCGACGTGCGTAGATGCGGGCGGCGGGAGGTGGCACGGACGCGGACGCGGGCGACATGGAGGAGGTTGATGACGCGCAGGTGGGCGACGCGCGTGGAGGAGGTGGGCCGCGTGGAGGCGGGCGAGACGCAGCAGGACGAGGAGGAGGAGGGCGACATGGAGGTGAGGGAGGCGGAGGAGGGTGTGTGGGCGCAGGCAGGTTTGCAGGTGCAGGCGGGCAGCGCGAAGGCGGGCGGAAAGCAGCGCGGGGGTGGGCAACGGGGAGGAAGGCAGTGGTGAGGTGGACGCGGGGGTCAAGGCCGGCGGCAGGCCGGATGGGCGAAGCTGGAGAGGAGGGGTGGGCATTGGGAGTGCAGGAGAGCGGAGTGGGGGACTCACCAAAATGAGGGCCGCGGTACGTCGCCGCGGCCCCCTAATTCTAATTTCCATGCTGAGGACGTCCGGATGGACATCCTCGTGCGGTGTGGATGCAGTCGGCAAGGTGGGCGAAGGACGGCATGGAGGTCGAGGTTGAGGTCGAGGGAGGAGGAGGGGGGCGGGGTTGAACGGTGTCACCAGGTGACAGCGGAGTCCAATAGCAGACGAAGGACGACTGTATAGTCGCTATCGTCTGCCTGGACGGTGGTGGGGGCGGAGCAGGAGGAGGAAGAGGAGGCGGGGTAGGGGAGGAGGAGAGCAAGGACGGCGGGAGGGACGCGTGGTGTGCATCACAGCCACGCGTCGATGCGCGCCACGCGTCCTTGCCGCCCAACGAGGCGCGCCTCCACGGGCGCGCATCACGGATCGCCAGATCCGTCCAGATGCATCCGTAGCTGCCGATAGGCTATCGCAACGGATGCACCAGGGAAATCACCTGTGCTCATCTTCCGAAGCTGTCATCTCATGCCGAAGTGCGGGGCTCATATCAACAGAACATGGACGTCTACGGATATCGTGGAGAACTGCGACGTTATGTACCTCAACTCCTTCTCCGACCACCATATGTACCTGTTTGTGTAGTAGTTAAGAGCCCATGAGGTACGTGCACAAGTTCCTTCCTTGCCTCACCTTGTCGTCCTCACACTCTTGCCATCCTGCAGACAACGAGGATGTGCGTCTTCGGGAGGGCGGCGGGCCCATACCCACGTCGGAGATCGCCCTCATCAGCACTATGTACAAGCGAAGGAAAAAAGTGGGAGGGGTGACACTGCGTTTCGTACGTCCCTCATGCCGGTCCCTCGTCCCTCCGGTCTCTCATCCCTCTGCTCCGTCCTCATCTGCCGCACATTCTACAAGCCTGCAGGTGCGCACCGTCCTATTTTCCCTCTGCGCGTCCCCCCTTGTCTTCCCCTTGCCAATCGCGCGTGGACTTGTGGTGTACACTGTAGTGTAGCAGGCACACGCTCAGGCAGGAGGTGTGCGCAGCCAAAGGTGCCCGCCAGGCTACCCAAGCGGCACTCTTCGCTGCCTGTGCGTCGCGGCCGGTTGCGTCACCGCCTCACGTCCAGCACGGCCTCACGGGCTGCACGCGCGTGTGGTGCGCCGTCTTTTCCACTTCCATCTGCACACTTTGCTAACTCCCCAACACTTTCCAGACATAACCCCTTGGCCTCCGAAGCCGGCTGCCCCCCGGTCTCCGATCTCGGAGGTCACACTCCCAGCGCAGCTCCTCGCGGGACACCAAGCCCCGGATCCCCACTCGCCACCAATCCCGCGTCGTCCCAGGACGCTTCCTTCCTGGCGAACGGCGACGCCCAGTCGTTGACACCACTGTGTCCCGACTCCTCAGCCCAGCCTCGCGTTCGCGTCGTCCTGCCGGCCGCTCCCCGCCGCCCCAGAGCCCGAGCACCTGCCTGACGTCAAGCTCGAGCCCGGCCTGACCGTGGTGTCCTCCTCGCTCGTTCTCGAGCCCGTCGAGCTGCTCGGTGAAGGCTCCTTCTCGAGCGTGTGCCTCTTGTGCGACGCCGCCGGCCGGACCACCACGCTCAGCAAGCTCCTGCGCAAGTCGCCCAGGGTCCCTCGCCCGCATCCGCTCCCTGCGCGGCCGCAGGAGCCGCACCATCAACAACACGCACCCCACACGCAAGACGGAGAAGACGGCCGACGGCCGGGCGAGGTCGGTGTTGTCACCGGACGAGGAGCTCCCTCCGAAGCTCCGGGTCGCGCGGCGGCCGGCTCGTCGCAGTCAAGATGATGGAGCGGGCGAAATATGACACGAGCACGCGCTCGCGTGTGAGCTTCGTGCGGGAGATCGAGGTGCTCCGAGTGAGTGTCTTTTTTTTCTCGCGTTTCCCCTGCTTCCCGCTCCCCCGATGCGTCTGCTGTGCCGGTTGATTGTGGCCACATTCTGCTCGATGCCTACACGTTTGCGTAGTGTGACGCACGATGCTGTCAACGTCCGTCATACCTAGATCCGCATATGACGTTTTCCAGAGCACTACCATGTCTCGGACCTTTGACTAATTCCTTGGTTCACAGCACATCGCCCATCCATCAATAGTCTAGTACCTTCACTCATCCAGCACTCTTCCACACCACTGTCTTATCCTCGAGTGTGGCAGGGGGCTCCTGGACATGGTCGACAACCCGGTTGTCCAAGCGCGGATCACAGAGCCGCTCGTCAGACGAATATGGGGAGAATTGCGCAGACCAGTAGCGTGGATGCACAGCGGCGTGGGTCTCGTGCACCACGCCATCACGTTGGAAAGTGTGTATCTCTGCCTGCGAAGATCTCACGACACCCAGTTTGCTTACCATTACTCCAGACATCCTCCTGAAGATGAGCTCGTTCGCCGACCCGCTGCCCTGCCAGTCGCTCATCAAGCTCACCAACATCAGCCTCTCACGCTTCATCGACCCGGCGAACCCGCGACTGACGACGCTCTACGGCTCCGAATCGTACGCCGCCCCCGAGCTCATGATGGGTCGCACCCACGACGGATGCCAGACGGACGCCTGGGCGGCGTGCAGCGTCGTCCTCTACACTCCCGCCACGCACTGCCTCCCGTTCGACTCCCCGGGCGCGTCCGAGCGCACCGCTCAGGACGGCCGTGAAGCGGGCTGGGTCATTCAACAGCGCCGGCGCGCGGACCGCATGGCCCTCCTCGACCGCACCGTCCAGGGCGACTACCGCTGGCCCGAAGAGCCGCTACGCGCGGCGGACCACGCGCGCTTGCGTGGGACAGAGCCTTGCCCAGAGCGACTGCGTCCACCGGGCGGCGAGCCGTCTGCTCATGTGCAACCCGCGCCGGCCCCCGCGCGTCTCCGACCTCTAGACGGACGCATGGATGCACGGGGAGGGGGCGCCCGTGTTGGAGACCGCGGAAGGTGCGGAGCTCGCGGGGTCGCCGTCGTCGCGTGGGTCGAGCGAGTCGGACGAGCCGGTGCCCATCATCGTCGACGCGGTCGACGCCCGCGAGGTGGTGGTGAAGGTCGGCATCGATCCGGAGGACGCAGACGCAGACATGGACGACCGCGAGGGCGTTCTCGTCGACGGGGGGGACATGGGTCCGGGTCCATTGCGTGACAGCAGCTCTAGCACCAGCGCCGCTGGGCTCGCTCTTACCGTCGCGGCCGTCGCGCTCGCTGCATAAGACGCCTCGCTATTCACCTCGCGGTGAACAGCTACCCCGCATTGCTCTTCCTTCCACCCGTATTTCTCTGTCCGCCCCTTTTGTCCTTGTGTCCGTCGTCTCCTGTAGCAGAGTCCGTACTCCAGTACATTTGATCCTCGTATCTCAGCCAAATTGAATGTCATTCAAAATATGAGACCCACTTCGTACTAGCCTGCCTACTCTGAGAGTACTACATGGATGGAGAGCATCGCCTCCAGCAGGAGCCCACTGGAAAGAGCAGGAGCCCACTGGAAAGTGGGGCTCCAGCTGACACGAGATGGAGAAAGTGTTTCCACCTGAAGACAGTGTCTCCAGGTGGAAACAGCTGTCTCCATCAGCATCGGGCCGGAGATGCGTCTTTCTGAGCGGAGGCACTGTCTCAGCCCCGGGCCGTATGGAGCCCCCTGTCTCCGGTCCGACGCTGATGGAGCGAGGGAGATCTTGTCTCCGTCCGGAGACCCCCGCGTTTCCTGATGCATGTCGAAATGGGAAAGTAAGAGCAAAAGACCCACATATACTCCGAAAGCATGGACGACTTCTAAGCAGATTATAGATACAACCCCGATCGCAGACTCCGATCGTGCTGGTCTCCTCGACGCACCCAAGACGCACCTTCTAAATTGAAATATAGACTATTCTCTCCCCGAAGAGGGAGACAGTATTTCAAACTCGGGTCGGAGAGTGTCGTGGATGCACGGCGTCAGTAAGCCCCAGTGAGTGCATATATGAACAAACATGTGCCCTGTGCTGAACGTAAACCCCCATTCTCCGTGTCTTCTCTCTCTCTGATTGAAATACATATGTCTCTCGAAAACACAATCAAGGTCGGAGTTGGTCACTCTGCCGCTACTGTGGGCAGGATTGGTGTACGTCCAGTGTTCCATATGTATCTGCACATGGTTGCTGAGGATTCCTTCCACTGCCTGTAGCACGGTCTCATGATGATGACGTACGCGCACCCCCTATTCGCCGTTCAGAAACTGAGCCCATCCTCAGGTGGCGCGACCCGAACTTTCCCATCGCCGACGAGGACGCGTTTGCGGCAATCAAAGCCGGGATCGACGCCCTCCCTCCCGGCGCAAAGATGATGCTCAACAGCGGTACGTACCTTCTTGATCTGTGTATCACCTCAAGCTCACGATAGCTATTCACCTCCAGGCGATTCCTACAGCAACGATGGTGGCCCGGCGAACATACGCCTGCTCAGCCGCTTCTTCGCCAAGTACCCTTCGTACGCCAACAGGACCTTCCTCTCCGTCAAGGGCGGCGCCAAGCCATACACGCACATCCCTGACCTGTCGTACGTCCACTTTACCTGCCCCTTGTCTCGTTCACCCAGACAAGATGCGACTAATCCGCTCCCACGTGCAGGTCGGAGAACCTACGCCAGAGCGCGACGACCGTGAACGCCGAGCTCGGCGGCGTCAAGAAGATGGACCTGTTCCAGTTCGGACGCGTCCCGCGCGCGGAGAGCGGGGTCTCGCTCGAGGACGCGCTCGGCACGCTCGCGCAGCTGAGGGACGAGGGCCACTTCGCGCACATCGGGATGTCGGAGTGCAACGCGGCGACGCTCCGCAGGGCGCACGCGGTGCGTACAGTGCTCGAGAACTCTAACCCGGTGGGGGGAAACTTTCAACTGATGCTGCGCGCGCGTGGTAGATCACCTCGATCAGCGTGGTGGAAATCGAGGTGAGCTTGTGGTCGTGGGAGGAGGAGACGAGGAAGGTGATCGCCGCGGCGAGGGAGCTGGGCATCGCGGTCGTGGCGTACTCGTGCGTTTCTTCTCTCCGCATATGTTCGCTTCGTCGGGAGCTGATTCGAACCTTCCTGTGTAGTCCCCTCGGACGCGGCTACCTCACAGGCACCCTCAAGAGTCCGAAGGACCTTAACCGTATGTATTCACTATCATTTCGCAGACGAGTAGACGTCTCATGGTCTGCTTCATACATACAGCCGGGGACGTGCGACACCTGCTCGATCGCTTCGGCGAAGACGAGATGCAGCACAACTTCCGCCTCGTCGAGTCGGTCAAAGGTATCGCAGAGAAGAAGGGGGCCACTCCCGCACAACTCGCTCTCGCGTGGGTGCTGTCGCGGGGAGATCACATCGTCCCGATCCCCGGGTCCTCGCGAGTCGTCCCCGTCCATCTCCTCTGACTGGAAGTCTGAAACATGGTATGTTTGCAGGAGTAAGACGCGAAACCTCGAGAACCTCGCCGCGATTACTATCAACCTGACGGCGGAGGATCTGGCGGAGATAGATCGAGTGTTGGCTGAGATCCAAATCAAGGGCGGTCGGTACAATGACGCGTGGAACACGTCTTTATGGGGATGATATACACGGACGGCTAACGACGCGGTAGAACCTCTTCAGTACCACTCTGATATCTCCTCCCGAACGCCGACCAGCTCGGGCAGTCTCCCCATAGCTGAGCCCGATAGTATTTGTCCCCTGAATCTACCTCATCTGCGCACTCCTCGCACATATTGTCGTCGGGAATGAATTCCAGCCAATGGTCGAACACCGCAGGTGAGAACGCACTCTCCGGCTCCTCATCCATCTGTCGGCGCACGTGGTCCCGAAAGCCTTGACATCCTATCTCCTTGCAAGAACTGCGAGGGACCAAAGCAAGGAGCCACTTCATGTTCTCCACAGAGAGTTTTGTGCGCGCGGTGATGCAGCGCGCCAGGTCCGTGGGGGACAGCTGATCAAGTGGGCGATCCGGACGGGCGCTGAAACCACGAACCAAGTCGTCCGCGGGCAACTTTGCACAGAGGTAGAGGGCGTAGGGGAGCATGGATGAGTGTCCGGTCAGGCGGGCGATGTTGACGACCGCGATGCAACTGCACGCTTCCGGCAAAGGGGGGTCTTGAATCTTCAGGGAAAAGTAGAAGTTTGTGGGATAGTAGTAGCGAAGCTTTTCGATGCCGATCTTGACGAGGAAGTCGATTTCGTACTTGTGTCCGGTGAGGATCAAAGCGGATACGTCTGCATAGGTGAACGTATCACCGATCAAACCCCTTGATAGAATGTAGTCGATGAGACCTTGAAATCTTCTCAGATCATAGGTGTATGCACATACATTTTCTCTCCGTTGAACATGAGAGCGCGAAAGAGCTGTCGAAGGTCCTCAGGAGAGTCGTAGAGCTCGACACGGGGGCATTCGTCGCCACCGTTAACGTTCGTAGCCGCGGGCTGCGGGAAAGAGAACATGTTGGCGAACACTGGTGATCTCTGTGCCAAAAGGCCTTTATACATCTTGAACTTCGTTTTTCCGGCGATGAGGACGATATTTCCGTCTTCGAACCAGAACTCTTTGTCCTGGACCTGCACCGCGGTGGCAGTGGGCGGGCTTGTGCTATTTTGGGCGTGAAATGCTTGCGCGACTGGCGGTCCACTCATATTTGAAGCCATGATACCGACGAGGGTGAGGGGGGAGGACCAGAGAGGAGTGTGATATCAGGTAAGTATGTGGAAGATGTCGAAAGGCGAACTGTGGCCTCTCGTGATCATTACGCGATATCTCCGCGATCTCGCCGTCTCACACGTTAAGCGCTGGAAATGCTACAAACTTGAATACTATACTCGGCGTGGCAGTTACTCCCAGTACCGCCCAAGAAATCTTCCTCCCCTGATATACAGAACATGGCGGAGGTACCTCCTCACCTAGCTGCTGTGGTCTCCCTGTTCTCAGGTTAGCACACGTCCTCGTGACGTCTCCGAGAGCCTTGAGATTAGATGCCGGGCTTCGATCCAACGGCATGAACACCGACGGTTTGTACACCTGTTCCAAAACAATATTCGCCTCACCCTTGATCCCCTTGGGAATCTTATCGCACTTGGCGTGGCCGCACTCCGTCGACTTGAGCGCCTCTCCGAGGAAGACTCGATGTATATGCTACAAGACTAATCAGAGTCAGAGACCTCGTTATCGTTCCAACCGCGGACCTCGTCCTCGATCCCGAACACCACCGGTAGCCTCTTCCACATGCCCTCCGTGATATCCTCGTCCCGTTCCCAAGCGTACTCGTGGCATACCCCGTTCCCGAGGAGACCCGTGGGGCTCTCGTAGGTGAACGGCGAAGGCGGATCGAACGGCATGAACACCGTCGGCGCATACACCAGGTCTGGGTGCTCCTCCGCCCGCTTTCCGATCTTCTTCCGCGCTGCGACGCACTCGGCGTGCCCGCACGACTTGATACCCTTGCCAATCAGCGCCTTGAAGACGCGCTTCGCGTTCGTCCGCGAGAACAGGTCGCGCGCGGAGATACAGAGCGCGAGGTCTCGTTCGGAGAGCTGCTCGACCGGGCGGTCGGGGCGCGCTTGAAAACCGCCGACGAGCAAGGAAGGAGGCAGGATTGCGCAGTGG